CTGCATTAATTCAAAATAGAGGTTTTAAAAATCTGAGTTATAAAACATCTTTTAAATGTACTTTATCACTACATTCAAATTCAAATTACTATAACCCAAGATATAAATGTAATAATAGATCAATCTATTAAAGAAATTATAGTTTGCCAAAGAAACATATTATAGTGTATCTTAAGGAAATAGATTCCTATTTTCCAAGAACTCACTGCTGAACACAAAAGTTGAAGGATCATTGGAGAAATCTTTATTTCTTGAGCCCTTATTTAAAAAAAAATCTGATTTTAGAGAATTCACCTTATTTCTAAGTAAATATTTTCAGAGAAAGAAATTATGCGGAACTTTTAACAAGAAGGATATATAGAATGTAAAAAAAGAAATTTTTAATGAATGCGATTTGTATCGTAAAGTACATACAAATTATAATCAACTACAAGTTACTTTCCTTATCTCATTGTCTAACAGTTAAATTGAAAAAGAGAGAGAGAATATTTCAGGGCACTTGATCTGTTCAAGAAAAAGGAATTTTATCAATTTAAAAGATATAAATGCCTAAAACTGAATCTTATAAAGGCATATGAGTAAATATGTGATCCAAGCTCTAGATGAAGTTGCTCTGGTCTTGTGGTTAATATCCGAGGACTCTTTACAAAGAAAAGAGTGGAATCGACAGTCCCTGGTCTTCCAGAGCCCGGCGCAGGGCAGGAAGTTTTGCCTACCCTCTCCTTCCCTCTGCCCAGACTACGCTCTCACCTTTCCTTTTTCCTCCTCCCCTTTCCCATTTTCCCAGGCGCCAGTGTCATACTTCAGAGGGCTGAAAGTATGTGTGTAACTGTGAGAGTAGAAGTGGGCTGCCATCTATTCACGACCTTGGATGACAGTGGGGAATCAGAGATAGGATCGGCTACCTAGTATTACATGTCTAGTTTCAGGGAGATGACTCTTACTTGCTGCTGCTTCGATCTTAGTGGGTGAGACTGTAACTTCCCAAACTCTTTCCCTATAAATCACAACCTGCTTGAGGGCAGAGACTGATTCTCACTCTTCTCTGCTTCCTGGAATGCGGACCACAGTGTTTAGAGCCTATTAAGTTGAATGAGTGAGTGAGTGAGTGAATGAATGAATGAATTCATAACTGGAGCCTGATCTTTCCCTTCTAACCCCAGAGGACAAGGCAGCCCCTAAGCAGAGCTCTGAAAGTGTGAAAAGGTGTTCTGATACACATTCAACTCCCTTCTGTTTTGTCTCACCCTCCCTTCTGGCTCTTCTTCCTAACTTCCTATCAGAGGCCCCGGGCCCTCACTGTTCATTCGTGGCCATTGAGGACCTCTGCGTTAAAACGGGGTTTAAATACCCTGTTAAGTTCTGTTTGGCGTCTTTTATAACTTATGCTGTGGTTTAGGTGATATGTTATAAATGACACATTTCTTGATTGATTTAGAAGACAGAAATGTTAAAACTGAAGTAGATAAAGAATTGAAAGAGTACGTGGGGGATATATGACAGCTGACTTCTTGGAGCTTCTCACAAGAAATAGAGATTACATTTGTTCCATCTCTAGGGAGTAGGACTAAGTCTAATGCAGGACATTCCAGAGAGGCAGGTTTTGATTCAAGGTCTGGAAGAGCTCTCTAATAATGCAAGCTGTTCGAAAATGAGATAACTTTGTGTGATTGCTCTGATTGTGAAAGTGTTTAAAAAAAAATCTACAGCTTATGCAGCCACTCATCCAGCGTGCATGGAAAGGATTCACGCATTGTGCCAAAAGTCAAGGCCTCTCTGACTCCATTATTTACAAACTAGGCTTCTCTCTCTAACACAGAGATCCTTGCAGCCTGGAGCAGCAATCCCCCGTGCTGGGGTCTAGGAGAAGGCAGCACAAGCAAAGTTACCGAGAGGAGATGTGATGAGGAGACCAGGAGGCCTCTGATTCTGTTCCTCAAGGCTTTCTTCTCTGTACCTCATGTGATGAATACTGTGAAAGCACTAATGCCTGGCAGTGGCCCCATCAGTGTTTCAAGAAGGGAGATCAAAGATTTTAACTGACAGTCATTGAAAAGAGGCTGCCAGGCTGGTAGAGGAGGTGAATGGGGATCAGAGGCCTCCTGGTCTCCTCATCAC